GAGACGAGTACACACGTGTGTCACTTGTAGAGCATAGAAAAATGCGCACCCAGCTATCGCAGTCGACCTCGTCTCTAAGGCCCTTGACTCTAGGAGGTGGCGGGTGTGGGAAAGGGAGAGAGAGGGAGTGTTTATGTGCAAGTCACAGCGGTTCCTCTCTCACATGTAGTAGTAGTAGTAGTAGGAGTAGTAGTAGTAGTGGTAGTAGTAGTAGTGGTCCTAGCGCAGGCCCTTAAATACTCGCGTGCACTTGTATTCCCCCTTCACAGTTTTTAGTTTCCAAAACCAGTCTCAAAGTTCTCTTGGCGAGAGAGGGGCTGAGAGCACAGAGTCCACGGTTTCACTAAAAGTCCAATGTTTGCACACCCTTATGCATGCATGCACCTACGCACGGTTCAAAACAGTCTGAAATGCAGTTCAGAACTTGGTTGTCCCCAAGTGGCAAGATAACTGGGTGATATACATATTTCTCTTGCACCACACCGGTCCGTTTATGGGGGGGCTGAGAATCTCGCAAATATTTTTTTGCCCCCAATGCACCTGCATGTCATTCACAGTTTGCCTGCCGTGACTATTATCCCATTCAATATTTTGTATATTTTAGGGGAGGCATCTTCACACCGGATCAAGCCTTTGATGTGATCGTTCGGGAGCAGATCAGCCGTCTGAAAGAACCATCCTTCCGCTGTGTTGATATGGTTGTCACCAAACTCTCAGAAGTTGTTCACAAGTGCTCCACTAAGGTAATCACAACAACATAGTCATCACTGAATATGCTGGAATATTGACAAAGACAGGGCGGACTGGAATGGCTATTTCTAGCTTATTAGCCGTCCCTAGCCGGTCACGCCCAATCCCAAGCGTGGACCACCTGGTATTCAAACCGGGGACCTTTAGTAATTGAGTCATAGGTGAACTGGCGCTCACCGACCAAGTTACGGGACATGTTCGTTCCGTTGTGTCCTGGGACTCAATCTACAGCACTCACAAGCATTCGCATAGCGACTAGTAATATATGCATATAATAGAGTACCAACAGCGGCGGTTAACACTGTTCCTAGTTGCCAGTTTTTTTTTACTCATGTTGCTTCCTCTGGCTGTTTTATTTTCGACCGTGAACGCGGTCCAAGTAGTGCCCAACCCGTACTTAGTTTTCCTTCGATGGGTGTGTCAGGAGCTTTGAGTTTAGCATTTTTAATTGGTATTGGCCCATCTATAGTTGTACTATGTCAATACAAGCGAACATACGAGTCCCAGGAAGTAATTGAGAAGGAGACGACTCGATCGCTGCGACAATACGTTTATTCACCTGACGTTTCGACATCCGTCGTGGATTCATCATAAGAGACATTAACAGAACACAGTAGCAGAAGCGGGAAATACATGCACAGGAGTGTGCAGTATTTATAGGATACAGTCATTACTGCAAACAAACAGCGAAAATTAACGTTAATTGCCTTCTTGATGAGGCCGAACTTCTCGCAACAGGTGACAATCGGGTGAGCTGAGAACTACTTGTGTCATGGTTCACGGGCCCCCCAATCTATAAACAAGTGCAACGATTTGCCCAATCCATATTCGGTGCTGAGACTCAGTTGGGAAACGGACAGGCCACCGCGTCATCCCACGCCAAGACCGGAAAGCCAGATGGCCGAGCAATCATCACGCCCGAGTCCACCACCCGTGCTGAAAGTTCAACAGGCCAGAGCCTGCGTGTCGTCCAACAAACTTTCTACGCGCAAGAAGGCAATTAACGTTAGTTGTCGCT